AATATTATACTAAAATCTAGTGGTAATGATACTAGGATTCGTCGAAGGAAAATAAATTAATAGAAGCGAGGCGCTGTATGAGTTCGGAATCACCACCTTAACAGGTGATTACATAGTTACTTTCATCTTACACATAGATATGAAGTATTTTATATAAATTACGTGCTATGTGTGCATATTGTCTGAATACTTGCTGTCTATGCTGGATGAAAGATTTTATACATGTTTTAAATGATTTAAACTGTATATGTATTTTATATCTACAAAATGTGTTGGGTAAAACATGGGTGGATGTAATAGTTGGGTGTGATGAAATAAAATGATGAGAGGCCTCGATGTGGACGATGTTTCCAGTCATCTAGCGGAGTATAGATGACGACCACAGACTTTTCTAGACGGTCCAGTGGAACTTTAGCAAGCTCGCAACCTGTAGGTTTTTGTGAACGATGTGTTCATGGGTGTACTCTATCCCCTTCATGATTTCCTTAATGACATTTATTACTGAGGAACCCCCTTGGAAGTAGTGTCCATCCCGATGATGATCCTTAGGCTAGGTCCCTTATGATAGGTGTTTTAGGGACGTAAAGTGAGGATAACGGGAACGGGTAATTGGGTTATTGTGGTATTATGAAATTAATAAACTTATTTACTGTGGGTTGAAAACCCTATGTGATCACCAGGCTCCCAAGCCTGACCCACTCAGTTTCTTGTATTACATGTAGTGGCACTCGAGCATAGATGTGATGTTTGGATGAGGGATTACGGATATAGGCCTGTAGATATGAATAAATGTTGTAAGGCTTGTATGGTACTGTTTATGCTTTTGATCTGTATCGAACATGACATCCCGAGGTTTTTAATGAAATACATTTCTTCGAAAATGCTTTGATAAATCTTTATCATATTTTCTTTTGGGAACAAATTCCGCAACACTTATCTTTAAAATGTTACTCTGATTTTTATACAAGCATAAACAAAATCGGTCTTTTCTGGCCGTGAAAATGTGGATCTCACACTACAACGGTTAGGAATCAAACTCCCCCTAACTAGCTCCCTAACTAGCTTGTGAATACCATTACATATTTTTAAAGAAGCTCCTGCTAACTCCCCCTAACTAGCTTGCGAATATCATTACATATTATCAAAACCAGATAATTCTTCGAATGAGAGATCTCACACTACAACGGTTAGGAATCAAACAAGAGCTACGCAATAGCGTTAAAATCTAACCTTCTAAAATAATTTAGTTCCGTAATATGCAACTTAGCGTATTCGTTTACTAATTAGTTGAAGTTAGTTAGAACCCCTAAAAGCATAAAGCAAGCAGCATTCGAGCATTGAGTAATCAAAATCAAGCATAAGCTAATCGGGCCATCTCATTACTGACTAATTAGCACTAGCATACAAGTTTATATCACATGCATACAAGGCATCTCTCCTAGCAATCTATCATGCAGAAACTGAGGAGATCCCTAACCCTAACTAGCATGCAGTTCACATATTCATAAATTCATTCATAGAAGATAACAAGTATGGGTATCTTGGGGAAAAGTTACTTGAGCTCGGCCGATTGCACGCATCACACATCTCATCTTTTATTATCATTCTTTATTTAATTCTATTTGAAAAAATATTTTCTTATAAAATCCGTCAAACCCTCGATTTGAGTTCAAACATACCCGAGAGTATGTTTGAATCCCTCAAACCAAGGCTCTGATAGCAACTTGTAACATCCAAAAAATTACGACCCAAAAATTTCATTTTTAAGTTTATCAAATCATAATACGAACATCATTGTTTTCAAAACCACGAGGACACAAAATAGTTTTAGTTTTACAATCAAGACATTATATAGAAAGTCATCATCAGAGTATAAATCCCAAGATCTCAAATGCGGAAAGTCAGTGTGATGCGCAGATGCGGTGCGATCAAGCCGTCCCTTTCCCTTGCGAGCTGGAGCTACCTGAAACACAAACTGAACTGGTAAGCATAAAACATAATGAGCTTCCCCCACCATACCACATACAACATAACATACTTCCGAGCATATCCGGGTGCCCTACCTACCCTGCTGAGCATATCTGGGTGCTCAACCTACCCTGCCAGGCATATCTAGGTGTCGGACCTACCCTTATCAGGCATATATGGGTGCTCGACCTACCATTCAGTCTTATTCCAACCGATTACGGGGTCTATCTCACCCTTACCACTACCATATAAAAATCATGCATATCTCACATAAACGTCAAACAATACATACCACCTTAATAATTATCACAAAGACAATCATTAAGCTATATCAATACTAGTGGGCCGACCTTGGTGCCTTCGACCCACAGATTCTACGAAGGGAGACTCACCGCAACTATGAATGCCGAATCGTGCTCCACAGATGACTCGAGGCTCCTCTCCCTAAATCACAACAACTCCCTAATTAGTTATTGGATCTAAATATAACTCCAAAGGCCCAGTTCCAACACATAAATCAAAAGGTTCCTAATCTTTGTCCCAATTGGGCCTCTTCCTCCCAAGGCCCAACTTCCATAATAAAATGTCCAAGCCCAACTGATTAGTCTTTAAGGCCCAATATAATAATCCCATTCTAGGCCCAAGGGTTCCATTCCATATGTGGGTTTGAGGCCCACTAAATCCAAGCCCAATGCTCACAGCGCATAAAACAGCCCTTGGCCCACTGTACGAGTGCGCGCGGCGTACGCAACATTACGCCTAGCGTACGCTGTCCTTGACTAGAAGCGGGAAACTGACCCGGTATGCGCAGTGTACTAGGGGTACGCCCGCCGTTCCTGTCAGCCACCCTTAAATCCTTCTTTTGACTTAATCCATTAAGTCCTAACGTCCAGAACATAGATCTAGGATCCTAACAATGTCCTAAACCATAAACTTATGAACTTTATGCTTTTGCATGCATGGATGGGGATTAAGACACACATTAAGTCCATAAGCTCACTTAGCGGCCAACTAGCACTTGCATGGTTGGGGCTAAACCATCAAGATTCGATTTTTATGGTTCTAAGAACCTCCAAGAGCCAAAAAGGACATCTCATTTGGACAGAATCTTCTAAAACTCATAGGACCTCAAGTATGGAACCAAAAATGTGACATAAAACACCCCAAAACTAGATCTAAGCATGCAATGATAAAGTTTAAAGCTTTATACCTCAAATGGGTCAGAAATGATGTCAAACTTCTGGATCTACAAGCCCTCTTCAAGTCCTTGCTCATTTTTAAGCTCCTTCTTCTTCAAAACCACCAAAATAACACAAAAATGATCAAAGTGAGCTCAAGATACATGCAAGGGGTTAGGGTTCGAGTTGGACACTATGGGGACAATGGAGCCTGAGAGGATAAGGATTTGGAGGGATATAAGATGCTTAAATAGGGTGCAAACCCTAAAATTTAGGGTTTGCATCTGACCAGTCTACGCCCAGCGTACACATGGGGACTGCCCGCTTCACGCCTCACTTACGTTCGCCTTGCGTACACCTTATATGCCCAGCGTACGCCCCAACCCACAAAATTCAAATATAAGCATAAATATAACTTGAACAAGGAGCAACATAATTACCTGACAATCTCGGGCATTACATAATTCATCCTATATCTGGTCGATTTAGTGAAATAGGATGAAAAATCTTCATTGCCTTAAGAGAGAGAATGCAATTGTTGTTGGATTTTATAAAGCCTGGCTCCACTTGATTGTTCATATTATTGATTTAGCTCTAACTAGATAGCAACGATTTGCAAGAAGAGAACACTTTCAGCAATGTTCTTTGTTTAGTATCCAACTAATCACCATGGAATTAGCTCGATCCCAGTTTGGATAAGAAGGTGAATTAGGAAAAGGTTTGGAAGTATTTCCATTAACAAAGCATAACTTGTTCTTTGTAAAGAGTGAAATCATGCTAGATCGTTTCCATGAATTGAAACCAATTCCATTAAAAAGAAAGAATACGAGAACAAAATTGGGATTATCTGAAGATCCGATGAAAAAGGGATTTGAAACACTGAGAACTGTGGAATCATTATGAATCTGTCGAGGATGACCAACAAGAAGAAGAAACAAATCAACTAAGATAATTTTGTTCTAATACCCTGTTGTAATAATTCAGAGTTTGAGAGAGAATGAAATGGAGAGAAATGATTCTTATTCATTTGCTTAATGAATTCCTTACAAATGAATCAACTTTATACATAACTTAATGAAAGAGACAATAACTAACTTCTAATTAACATGCAGTAACAAACTAACTGACTGAAGCAGTTAGATAACTTATATGCCCTTAGGTAGGTAAGTTAGTTAGACCAACAACCCTGCCCAATAAAATTGCCCTGGTTTGCAAAATGAATTATATTTATTCTATTTTGACAAAATTGCAAAAATGGTCCCTGTGGTTGGCAAAATTCTGTAGTTTTGGTCCAAAACGAAATGTTGGTGCACCACTGGTCCAATTTTAGATACCTTGTGTGATTTTGGTCCCTATAGTTGACATTTTTGTGTGTTTTTAGTCCTGACCCAACCTGAAATGACGAATATGCCCTTTGATAATTCTTTTTTATTTATTTTTAACATTTTATTATTATTTTCTCTAAAAAATAAAAAGAAAATAACACCACTCACTCTCTCTCTCTCTCTCTCTCTCTCTCTCTCTCTCTTATCTGACTTCATACAAGATTACAACCTAATCCCTCAAGTTCTTCATTCACCGACGATCGGTGACTACTGACCCTCCTCCGCCTTGCTCCGGTCACACTCCACCACTTCCTACTGCCCAACACCACCCACTGCCGCCACTATTTTGGTCGTCCAAGCCCAACCCTGAACATCTCCACCACCATCCACCGTTGCTATTGTTTCTCTTCCTCGTCAATCACCATTAGACTGGAAAGACGGAAGCAGCAGAACTACTATGCAACCACCAGTCGTCGCCGCTGCTATGGTGGGCAGTCCCCACCATCACCGATGCCACCCCTCGCATACCTCACCTCCTCGGTTCGAGCATCACTGCCGAAAGCCCTCCCCTGCACGACTGTTGCTGCTTAAATTGCTCCCTCGGAAACACCTTTTGTCCATCCACTTTGTAGATCACACCAACCACCACATCATCTTCTTCCTCACCGACTATCGGTTCAAGGGCAAGCTGGAAGGGTAATGGATGTAAAACTAAACCAAAATCAATAACAAAACTCAAATCGGTTTCCAGATAATCAAAGTGGTGGATCTAATGAAATCTAAGGAAGAAAGAAGTGGAAACAAGATCAGGAACCAGATCGTAGTTTGCATCTGGTGGTGGCTGACGATTTGATGGCGAAGAAGTGGGAAATCAAACATGTTTGCATCTTCTATTTTTATACACATGTTGTGGATCGATCCATTGAAAAATGGGGATTTTCACCGGTGGATTGTGGGGGAATGAGACGGGGGATGACGCCTAACATCTTCCATCACCGGAGACAGCTACGGCGACACTGATTCATTTTTGTCGGCAATATTAAGGACGTAACTTTTTCAATAATCTCCAACATATATAACTTGCGCACAACTTGTTGAAATCGTCTAGCTGTTTGGTTCTTGAATTGGACATCTTGAGCTCTCCCCCTCCTCACTTATTAGATCTAGAAGATGAGAACCCATGAGTGAAGATCAATAAAGCGTTTTGAACAAACACAAACACGATTTGGGTTCTGAAATCGTATGCGTGTATGTGTGTTTGTCCTTGTGTCTAGCTTGTTTCTAGAAATCAAGATCGTTTGCAGATATGTTCATCTTGTGTGTATGTTTCTGTTAATGTTGTTGCAGAAATCAAAAACCCTGGAAATCATGAAGAAGATAAAGGGGTAGAAGATGATGATTTGTATTCTTCACGAGAGAGAGAGAGAGAGAGAGAGAGAGAGAGAGAGAGAGAGAGAGAGAGAGAGAGAGAGAGAGAGAGAGAGAGAGAGAGAGAGAGAGAGAGAGAGAGAGAGAGAGAGAGAGAGAGAGAGAAGTAAGAAAAACAAGTATAAAGGGTAGAATTGTCTTTTTAAGTGGATAGGGACCAAAATCACTAAAAAGATCCAATTTTGGACCAGTGGTGCACCAACATTTCGTTTTGGACCAAAAGCACAGAATTTTGAGGGATTATTTTTGCAATTTTGTCTTCTATTTTTGTGAGAGGTTTTAGAAATCTATGATCACCCTATATTTGCAAAAAAAACTCCTGATTAGAATAGTCTGCTATAATCATTATTCACGTGCTGGTAACCTCATCTACCTAGCATTAGATATTATTGGACCACATACATTATATGCATAATAAGTGCGCTAAATCAATGGTCCCTTCCTTGTATCCATTGAAAGGAACAACATTCACAATATCGTATGATTCAAACTTAAATAAATTTAAATATACACTTTTTGCGATATTAAAAAATGTGCTTATACATATGGTCCAATTCGGCGACAAAAGACACATATATATTTATTTTAAGTCATTAAACGTAGGTTTCTTGATAAGTATTATTAGATGGATTTAACATACCATTCACGGTACTGAATTATTTGATTTCAGTCCTTTAAAGTTTAGAGTTTAAACTTGAAGAAGAATAACCGATATCTATAATATAGATTTCTGATTAATAAACCGGAAAATATTAGAAAAGATGGTGTAACACTGTAACGTAATCAATATAAACATAACTGTTCACATACAAGTTTATCACCTAAATATGCCATGAGTAATAGATCGACGGAAATTAATAATTCCAGCAACATTATCAACATGCTCCTTCTGCCGCCGTCTTCCTCCTACCAGTAAATTCGAGTTCACCACATCATCTCCAGTAGACCCGCAAACAATTGGACGTCCGATCCAAAACCCTTTGCGTTTCTCGGTCTTGGTCTTGGTCTTGGTCTTGGTCTTGGTCTTGCTTTCTCTCTTACCTACTCTGTCTTCTGGAAAAGATACAACTCCACCATAACCACCACCATCTACCGACTTCCTCCGGTGCTTAACATCACTAGACTCGATATAACAATCAAGCTCCATAGAAATCCTCTTGATTTCGTACATATCCAAAAGAGAGTTACCAAGATGTTCAGTGCATAACAATGAACCGTTGGTAAACCGTTGCGCGTCATGAGTACTCTTATTTGGTTGGTTGTTCATGGCTTCCAGCTTGTACCTCGTAGGTCTACGAGTATAATCACTTGTTCTTCTGCAATCAGTCTCTCGTATAGAGTTATGCTCGAACCATGATCCACGTTCATACCATGCCCATGCGGCTGCCTTTGTGATCGCGAGTTCGTCCATACGTTGCTTTTGGTTTTCACGATTGACCATATTTCACACGGTGTGCGAGCGTTTTTAATGTTTACGTGAGTGAATGAGCAATTATATTAACCTACGGAATGGGGAGTGGGGACATTAATTTCATGGTTGTGGGAAGATATCATTCCACATGGTTAGGTACGCGGCAATTGATAGCAAGTCGTCTGTTTGCATGGCCAATTTCCTGAACAACGCATGGGTTCCGTTGGCCATTCCTTCACCACAAAGAGAATAAACACAAAATGGATACCATCAAGTTAATAGACACAAAATGGTTTTTTTTTTTTTTTTTTTTTTTTTTTTTAAAAAACATGGTATAAAAAAAAATTTAAACGAAAAAAATGGTGAATTTTTTTGTAAAGGGTTGATTTTTTTGGTATAATCCGACGCTCACGATTGGTTCCTTGGTTCTTTGGTTAATTATGGTTCTCTGTTGAAAATCTCTCTCTCTCTCTCTCTCTCTCTATATATATATATATATATATATATATATATATATATATATATATATATACAATAAACGTACATGCTCCGGATTATAACAAAATCCATTTCCTTCTTTTTAGTTTATGTTTTTTAGGCAATATTTTTTATTGAAAAAAAACTCGAATATATCGTTCTTTATGATTTTTCGTACTCTTTCAATAAATATCCCATACTAATATATAAAAAATGGATTTAAAAAAAAAACCCAATTCATTTTCATTGCTTTTTGAAAAGTTAGTCTCCTTTTTATCGAAAAAAATTAATAAATATATCAAAATTCATATTTTTGGTACTCTTTAAACATTGATTCATATTGATGTTATAAAAATCGAAATTTCAGTTCAGATTCACACTGTGAATCTGCTCAAAAAGTCTTTTTTTATCGAAGAAATTAATAATTTTATCAAAATTCATTTTTTTTGTACTCTTTCAACATAGATTCATATTGATATCAAAAAAATCGAAATTTCAGTTCAGATTCACATTGTGAATTTGCTCAAATTCACAATGTGAATCTGAGCGTGAATCCGATGAGATTCACAATGTGAATAAATCAGATTCACATTGTGAATTCTGAAAACTAAATATATGCCTATATTAATTTATAGAATCAGATTCGATTATTGATTGCTATGTGTTTCCTTTATCAAATACATATTTGGTATACATATATGTTTATCCTTGTGATTTAAAGCTATACCATTGAAAACTTCCATTGTTCTTAGAATAACCTCATATCATCTTGCCAATTATGTGTTTGACAAGGTACAACTCTTGATGTTGCTGGAGGCAGCAATTCATCAGTAAAATTATGGGACACTGCAGAATAGAAACTCAGAGCAACATAATCAAACCCACGTCCTGAAGGATCAAAGTTCTCTGAAACAAAATCGAAACTCATCTAATGTCGTTGGTGTTCGTCTACGACGAGAAACAAAACATCTGATGTGTGTATGTATGCTTGATGTGTATATCCCTTTAATTTTCAGGAAAGAAGGTTGAGTTACAATGTAGAAGACGATGGGTTGGATAGATAGATAGATAGATAGATAGATAGATAGATAGATAGATAGATAGATAGATAGATAGATAGACAGATAGATAGATAAAGATAGAGAGAGAGAGAGAGAGAGAGAGAGAGAGAGAGAGAGAGAGAGAGAGATGGGCCTCATGTTTTGTCTATGTGTCACTCAAACTGGCTAAAACAAGTAAAGGAGACTAAAATGACAGTTTGCCCACTTGGTGGTTCCCTTAAAACGCACGGAAATAACATAAGGGACTAAATGAGCAAATGTGAAAAACATCATAGGGATACAATGTCATTTTCCCAAATTTAAATCCTTATTTCATACGATATAACTCGTGCCTTGTGTTGTTGACTGATAAGCTAATGTAGTTAAATGTAATTGATTTTTTTCTTAAAATTATATTAAGAATATTTAAAAATTATTAAATATATAAAGTGAATTTATTGAATAAAATCATATCCACAAACATGTATATATTTGCTTAATGATTTATTAACATTGTGTTTTACATGGTATGGAGAAACTCGAAGCCACTTCTGAAAATAAACACAATTAAATCATTCTGGTGGTTACAAGGCTTGCATGAAACGGAATCGGAATGCATAAAAGTTACATACTTTAAAATATTTAGGAAATGTGTTAAAAATGTGTATGTTCATAACTGAACATGTGTATGATCGGTATTGAATGTGTGTATGTGAACATGTATGAATTCAATCACATTTTGGATTTTTGTAACAATGTTCATTCATGATGTAACACCCGTTCCTCGAGGTATTACTTATTTTCTTGAGTTAATAATTGTTTTGGACTATCTTGGACAATGGATTCATTTGGAGTGGACTTAGGAAGTGGGCCAAAAAGATGGGCCGCCCATAACCCGTACGTCGGGCATAGCCTGGCGTATGCGGGGCGTAATGGCCATTGGATTCGAGGGACGCGGGTACGTACGCCCAGCGCACGCTGGCAGATGCTAAACCCTAATTTTAGGGTTAAGGACCTATATATACATCATTATAGCCTCCCCTTTTGGCTTCCTCACCTGTCCATCACCCTCAGAGAAACCCTAAGTCGTTCATACTCTTCCTTGTGGGTGTGTTTGACATTTTGAGCTTATTTTGGCAAAGAAGGACTTGGAAGAAGAAAGGAAAGGTTGGAGAAGAAGCCCTTGAGTACCTTGAGCTACCTTGAGTACCTTGAGTACCTTGAGCTCACCATTTGGCACCAAGAGGAGGTATAAAGCTTCTACCTTTCCTCCTCAAAGTCTAGGTCTAGGGTTTTGTAGATTTGGACATTTTTAGGTCCAAAGATTTGATCTTGACCTTGCAATTTTGATTTTGAGTTTAGGGTTGCCACCCTTGAAGCTCAATAAGTTCCTTTAGCCATAAAGTTGCAAGCTTTGAGGCTTTTATCAAGACATGCATGAGATCTAGCCATTTTTATGGAAGTTCATTGTTATTCTTAGTGTTGGGCTCATTTGGTGGGTTGCAAGCCACCAAGTGATCAACTTTAAGTGTTAGGACGAAGCATGGGACTCAGATCTGTAGTTTGGACGTAGGTTCTTAGGGGATTAAGTCTTTTTGGAGAAAAGTGCTTAACAGGAGAGTACGATTGGCGTACACGCTGGTACGCGCATCATACAAGCCATTTCAGTTATACGCGCAGCGTACGCTCAGGCAGTGGACTTTTATTATTGGGCCTTGGGTTGGGCCAAGTCCTGGATATAGTAATAATGGGTTGCGATAGGCCTTTAGGAGTCAGTTAAGGGCCTAAGGATTAGTGGGCTTGGTAGGAAAGCCCATTTGAGGAGTTGGGCCCAATTTAGAAAATTGGGCCATTTGGGGACTTAATGGGCTTTAGTGAGGACTAGAAAGGATTGAGCCTAGGTTATGGCCCAAAATAGATCAGAGGGGTAAAATTATCATTTTACCCATGGGAGAGTCATCAGTTTTTGACTAAATGTTTATTTGGTCACTATAGCCGGGGAGTAGTTGGAGCAGCCGACTGTGTCACCTTTGCACGAGTTATTCAACAGTCAGATTGGGAGGTGAGTTTCCTTCCAGTAGGAACGGGTCTATGGCGACAACGCCGACCCATTTAGATGATAGTAGTTTCGGACATCGGTCCGATGTCGGGGCGGTCCCGAGAAGTAGTTATGTATGCTTGATGTCTTCGTGATTCATGCATGTTTATGATTTGTGTTATATGTTCCGGACTCTGGTCCGATGCTGGGCAAGTCCGATGCAGTATATGTGATTATGTTATATGTTCATGTTTATGTTATGTTAGTATATTCCGGACTTCGGTCTGATGCCGGGCGGGGCCCAAGTTATTCCGGACTTCGGTCCGATGCCGGGCGGGGCCCGATGCAGTGGGCAAGGCCCGGTATGTGTTATATGTGTCATTCTATGGTATGTCGTAATTTGGGGTTGCTCACTAAGCTTCGTGCTTACATTTTTCAGTTTTGGTTTCAGGTACTTCCACTAGCAAAGGGAAGGGTTCGGGATGATCGCGTGACACACACCACTGTCACAGCCTGGGAGTTTACTTTGATGTTTTGTTATGAGATTTCGATTTGAGACAGATACTATGATGTTTTATGCTACATGATTTATGATTTTACTTATGACTTTGGATGGTTTATGATTTTAATAATGATTTGAAAACGAAATTTTTGGTCATATTTTTGGGTTGTTTTAAGTTGGTATCAGAGCCTTGATTTTAGGGATACGGGCACACTTTCGGGTGTGTCTGAACTCAAACTAAGGAAGTGATATGAAATTTTCGGAAGAAAATCATTTTTTACAAAAAAGATTTTGAAAATAGAAAAGAACTTTGAAAAGAGAAAAGGGTATGGTGCATGCAATCAGTCGAGCTCAAGTAAGTACTCCCAAATTACCCATACAAGTGTATGCTATGTTATAATTATCAGCTTTATTAGAACAACATGCTAGATTAGGACTAAGGATCTAGGAAGGATGCCTTATGTGCCTGTTATATGTGTTCAGCTTTATGAGAACTGCATGCTAGTACAAATTAGTCAGTATGACGGCCAGAGTAGTATATGCTTGATTATATGTACTCGATGCTCGAATGTCGCATGCTAGTACAAATTAGTCAGTATGAATATGTTACGTTACATATTGCGAGGATTAAATAATTTCAGAAGGTTAGGTCTAGCTCTATTGCGCAGCTCTTGTTTGAGTCCAACCATTGTAGGGTAGGATCTCTCATTCGAAGAATTATCTAGTCTTAGTGATATGTAATAGTATTCACGAGCTAGTTAGGGAAGGTAGCAGAGACTTCTTATACAGCTGATAGCGGAGAGTGGGTTGGTGATTACCCTAGGACAAGCCTAGGAAGAGTTTAGTATGAGATCAGCAGTAGTAGTAGTAGAATGGACTTGGTGGAGTCGAGGCAATACTTGAGGAAAGTACGGATAGATGTGGAATGTAGTATGGGCCCGTACTACTAAAATCAGAGGATCCATACTCGAAT